TTTTGGTTTGAATTCCTTATTTGGCCTTTTAACAAAATATGTAAAAATAAAAAACAGAAATACATTTTTGATATTAATAATTTATTACTATGCGATAAGTCAAGATTATTTTTTGTGTAGTCTTCTGCCCCCTGTTATCAGGTGTATCTGATTGTGTACGATAGGATTTTGAGCAAAGTTTTTACCATTAAATTATGCAAAAGGTGTCAGACGCAAAACATTTCAGAAACCGTATGGATCAGATATGATACATTTAGGATTATAGGGTTAAAACGCTTCTGTTTAATTGGAAATTGAACGTATTTTATCTGCACCCTTCACTTTTCATCTGTCTAATTTTGATTATTTTTCTTTTCCTGTATTTTCTTGTGTTGATTATTTTTCTTTTCTTGTTTTTCTGCTTTTAAATTCTCTGTGAAGCACTTTCAATCGCCTTGAAATAAATAAATAATAAATAAACTCACCTTTCCTTGTTTGCAGGTTCCACCGGGAGCTGACCATGGGGGCCCCGCCCGACTGGACGGTCACCACCGTCTGGCACTGGCACTGGAAGCTCGGCCAGTGAGGAGCCGGGAAATCCCGACGACCCCCGAACGCATCGCCACACAGTTCACGCTCCCCGGGGGTGAAGTCACCGGGGATAGACTCTGAAACTGTGGAGCCCCCGGCCTCTGAGAGGAGGTTTTATTGTATTTATTCAGAAGGGACGCTCGCCCAAACGGGCCAAAACCAAACCAGTTCACCACTCAGTCAATAAACGGCTCGATGGTGGTAAAACGCAGGCCTCCCGGGCGTTCATTTAAAGGGGACGCTTGCTTTATCCACCTGGGGGAGCCAGAGAGCAGCATCAGCCAGCGGAGAACAAGAAAACCCTGCTGTCCACTGTCTGTCCACTGTCTGTCCACCGTCTCTACACCGTCTGTCCACAGTCTGTCCAATGTCCACTTTGACCACTTCCACTTTAAACTCGCCATTACCACCTTTTACATCAGTTAATCTTCTTTCGCCCCAACAGAATCTGGGTTTGTAACAACCTTAAATACTCTGAAATCCTTGTATTTGACCAATGTCTTTATCAGACGCTATATCAGAATCTATAGTGAAGGCAAATATGTGCCACAATTAATCTTTTCCTGGTGTCTGTGGTAGGGTTGTCAAAAGTATGGATACTAAAATGTATCCGGATAAGATACTCATTTTCAAAATTATCGATACCAAACCCCCCACCACCACCCCCTCCGCGCAGACAGCAGGAAGCCAAGGATGGAGATCCAACTCCACCCACATCCAAGTCGGCCATTCTGATTAGGTCACCAATAGGAAGATCCCAGGATAGAAAATCCTAATTGTTTCATGAAAATATAGACATTAATTTAAAAATAGTGAAATTAATCTTGAAAACACCGAATTAAACTATACACAATATTATGTTAAAATAGTGGATGTTAAATAGGTTTGTACAGTAAGTCCAAACAAGTTTAACCAAAAAATATTCATTTCTCACAGTTATGAAGGGTGGAGGTTTCAGGTTAGGGTCATTAATGTGGGCCACCATAACATCAGTAAGAGGTTCAGTTTGAAACCAAAGACACTAACCTGTCAAAATTCTGTTAAATTTTGGGGTCTTTGTTTTTATCCTTGTGGTATCTAAAAAGGGTATCGAGTATTTTCCTGAGTATCGGTATCGAGTTGAACATTTTAGTATCGTGACGACCCTAGTCTGTGGTCACTTTCAGTCCCTGGCTTCGCAGACATCCCGTCTCGGGCCCTTTCTGTTAAAACTGGCCCGTCTATCCTTTTGGAAACGCACAACATCTGCCATTATCGGCTGCTAATTAACTCACAAAGACAAACGTGGAGGATTAATCTCGTTTCCCTGTGCAGTATACAGTGGGATTGTTGTGGGTTCCAGCAGAGCGTCTCGCCGTCATAATGAGATTATTTGAGTGCGGTTAGCATGGCTCATGGATGTGGTGAGAACCTGTGAAACGATTCACTTAAGCTGCGGGTGACTCATTTCTGTTTTAAAAAAGGTCAAAACGAGAGCGCACAAAAGCTCATGTTTGCTCACATTAGTCATCAAAACGCACGTCTGGTGTCACATCCAGTCAAATAAATTATTTGGAAATAAAGCGTATTTCTGACAGAAACCCGGGTCTAATGGTAGAATCCCTCTGCTCACCCTCTGAGGTGTTTCAATGTGAGATAAGACCGACGACATGAACTTTTAATGTATTAAATTCTTAATTTTTTTACTTTTAACTCGCCTTTGGTTTCTAAATCAAAGCTGCATTTTATCATCTAAATACTTTGCTTTCTACATGTTCAGAAGGCCAAGTGTTCAAACGGTGGCAAAACAAGCTGAATATGCAGAAATGACCTATTAAATGCTGACAGGCCCAAATATAAAAAGGAAATGGTCGCCCAGTATAAGAATATCTATCCATCTATCTCTAAATGATTCAATCTCTCCATTACTTTTGGGTTTCTGGTCCTTACTGTCCTTAGATCTATTGAGGTTTAAAAAAAAGGCTTGGGCAGTTGACTGGAAGATGGCACAAACATGACTTTGAATTAGTTTAATATAGTTACACTTATTCCAACAGGCTCCATTCACACAGAAAACACTAAACTAGACAAACTGTGGGGATGTGTGGGTCTTCAAGAGAGGCAGAATTCATGCTGAATCATGTTTCTGTTGTATGACAATAATAATAATGATAATAATAATGAGTCCTGCTTGATGAGACAACGAAATGCAACCAGGATTAGAGTTACTTCAAAAACAGCTTCAGGCTTTAAATCACCATGTGAGATTCTTGCATTATGGTTGAAGAAAATCTCCATAATATCTCCACCGATCGGCTCGCTTTAACTCCCAGATGGGACTGATTAAAGCTTCTCCGGCTCAGATTTAGTCTTATCGAAAAACCGAAGAATAACCGTCCCACAAAACAGAAACTGTCCCAGAGTTACATGGCTTTAATGTCCCGGAGAACCTCGCGGAAAACCTGAACACAAACCTGGCCGCTGGGCTGCTTCATGGACGCCAGCTTCCAGGCCTCTTCGAAGGTCTCCTCAGAGATATTCACGCCAACCTTCCCAAAGATTTCTTTGATCTGAAATGAGGAGGTTGAAAGGCGTCAGGAAACGGAAACGCAGCGTTGTTTCTGTTCAATTAGCTTAATTTTAACCGACACTGGAGGAAACAGTCAGTCAGTTGTTGAGTGAGGGGAATATCTCCCCTTAATGGTACAAAACAGACAATCTGCGAGGTCTCGGGATTTAGTATGACTAAGTTTGAAATCCATCCATCCATCTATTTTAATAACTGCTTCTTCCCTAATGGGGTCACAGGGAGAACTGGAGCCTATCCCAGTAGCCAATGGGGAGAGGCGGCGTCACCCTGGACGGTCCCCAGTCCATCGCAGGGACACACAGAGACACAGAAGGACCAACAACCACACACACTCACACTCACTCTTAAGGTCAATTTGAAATGTCCAATCAACCAGTTTTTGGACGGTGGGAGGAAGCCGGAGAACCCGGAGAGAACCCACAGACACAGGAGAACATGCAGACTCCACCCAGAAAGGTCCTGGTTGCCCCGGGACTCCAACCCAGAACCCTCTGGTCCTGGTTCCCCCGGGGACTCCAACCCAGAACCCTCTGGTCCTGGTTCCCCAGGGACTCCAACCCAGAACCCTCTGGTCCTGGTTCCCCCGGGGACTCCAACCCAGAACCCTCCACCCAGAAAGGTTCGGGGACTCAAACCCAGAACCTTCTTGCTGGTAGGCGACGGTGCTAACCACCACGCCAAAGTTTGAAATCATAAATCTGTATAGTAAGGATATACATCAGGATAAAACGTTAGAAAAGCATCAGACTATCTGGACCTTTGTCACTAAAGTGATTTTTACACATGAACAGGCTGAGTTATCAGAGACTGATCAGACCGGATACAAACAGGTAGAGGGACTCCTTCTGTAGTCCCTCTACCTCTATCTCTATCTCTATCTCACCACTGACTCTGATCAGTGTTTCTCCTCTATATAGCTTATTGTCATAGTGATGAGAAATGTAATATTGTGTCTACTCTGTAAGTCGCTTTGGATAAAAGCGTCTGCCAAATGCATAAACATAAACATAAACAGGGAGAAATGTGAGGGCGTACCTCCTCCCTGGTGCGGGGGAGGGACAGGTGCTCCTGGTGAACGCCCCGGCGGGCGTAGACGGAGGGACGCAGCAGATCCGAGGCCGTAGACAGATCTCCGTAGTTTATGGTGTCGGATACTCTTTTGAAACGAGGGGCTGGAAGGTCCAAACGCACCGACGGGATCCCGCAGGTCTGGCCGTCTGAAATGTATTTAAAGGAGACGTATTATACCCTATTTCAACAAGTTAACCTAGTTCCCTGGTGTCCTAATGTAATGTCTGTGACAAGCTTTGGTCAAAATCCCATAAGGATGAAGCCCAATAGCAGTTCAGTCCCCCTGCCTAACCCTAACCCTAACCCTAACCCTAACCCAAAACAGCCCCGTTCAGAGCGCTCGCTTTGGAGTGCCTGTCTCTTTAAATGCAAATGAGACACAGGCAATCCACCCACTTCTTCAGGGAGGTGTGCCCACGTCGGCACGCTAACGCTAACATGCTAACGCTCACGCTACCACGACGTCTCCACAGATAGGGGAGTAAGCTGAGGGGGGGGGGGCAACATGCAGGTGAAAGGCTGGAATATTATGATGAGCTAGAGCTAATGACGTCAGAAACTACCCACTCCTGAAACCTCCTGATTTATCTCCTGGATTCAGACTGAAGCAGCCCACAAAAACATGACTCAGTCAATTTATTTTCACACTTTGCCTGCTGATAGGCCCTCCACAGTCCCAAATGTACATAATCACATGATTAAAAAATTGGTTTTGCATAATATGTCCCCTTTAAATTTAACTCGCATGTCAGGTAGGAATCAGATAAATTAGTATATGATGCTCATGTCATGTGACAAGAGAGAGAATCAGCCATAAAGAGCTCCTCTGATGTCCAGCACGGATTGACCAGGAACAGTGTTTGTGGTCATGATGGCCCCCTAACAAAGACTCATCAGTCCTCACATTGTGTTACCCAACAGGATTTACCCTCTTAAATGTGCATTATGAACTCCCATCCAGCTGGTGAGTTCATTTCCACCAGTCTGGAGCCGCCCGGCGATCAAAGGTGAGGGTGGGGGGTAAAAAAGGGCGCAGCTCTGATGACTTACTCGATGCGTTTGGCCCTTTACCGACAGAACCGATCAGTGAGGAGGAGGTCACGAAATGATACGAGGCTTCTTTGGGCTTCCTGATGGTCCTGAGGGTCTTCAGGGAGCTGCCAGGGGCCACAGGCTCCAGGTCCTCGGGCCTAATCAAGGCCTGAGAGGGAGGATGTTGGGATGGTTCTGACGATGGTTTCCCGTCTTCGTTTTCTGGTTCTCTGTCGGACAGATTCTCTGAGGGAAAAAAAAATGGATGCTCGTACAGTAGGGGTGGGACTGTTCACAAAATCCACGGTTCGGTTCGATTCACGGTTTCGTGGTGACGGTTTTCGGTTCGGTTCGGGATATGTTGATTGTTAGGAAAATCTATTATGTCTTGTATAGTCAGGTTAAAACTGAAAGAAAAAAGCAGTCTGACATTTGATACGTCATTGTGACAGTCTTAGGTTAAAAGTAGGTGAGATTCTGGCATTGCCAGACAGGAAACAGTGCTAATTCCAACATGTGCTTCCCTCTAAATGCAAAGTGGTCCATACAGCAGACCTAGAAACTGCTGTTGGCACGTCTGATTTTTATCGGCTACGCTGCTTCGCTTCTTCTTCTTGTTTCCTACTGGTGGTTGGCTTTGGGCGCAGTAGCGCCCCCTTCTGCTCTGGAGTGTAAACGCTTCCCTCTGAGAAAAAGGAGCAGCATGAACCGAACGCAAAACACACGCGAACCGAACCGAGACAGTCCAACCCAACGGTTCGGACGGTTTTCAGAAACCGTCCCATCCCTATCGTACAGTAAACCCACACACAGCTTCTGTGGTTCTCCAGTAAGAAGAAGCTGAGAAGAAGCCGACTAAAAGTCGTTTACTGACCTTTAGTCAGAGCGCTTTGATCCTGGCTGTTGATGGGCATCATGTCCTTCCAGTTGAGAAAGTTGGCAAACTCCATGAAGTTGATGAGTCCATCCTTGTCTGTGTCACAGTAGTCCATCAACTCCTCCAGGACCGCGTCGCTCACGTCCAGCTGGAACTGGCGGCACGCGTCCCGCAGGTCCTCTTTGTCGATCGTTCCCTTTCCTTTCTAAATATTCACAGACAGAACAGAGTCCAGATCGTCACAGAATAGAGCCCCAAACCTGAGACTGAGATGTTCTGGCTTTAACAGCAGCAGTAGAATACTAGCTGATATCACATCAGAATCAGAAATACTTTAATAATCCCAGAGGGAAATTAATATAACATAAAGATTAATTTGGTCACATGTGGTGTAACAAAAGTGTCATGGATGGATGACATAAAAGAGATGAAATGGAGGCTAAGAGGAGAGAAAAAAAAGCCCATGTGAACCAAATTTTTTGATAAACCGTGAAAAAAGTGAAAAACTGAACCGTAAACCCAGGCTTCAGCACATGGAACCTAAGTACTCTGACAGGAATTGGGACAAACCAGGGGAATACACAGTGTGTGGGGACTGAGCCGTAAATTATGGCAGGTGGGTGGAAATAAAATACCAACTAAGAACACAGAACAGAGAAACGAAGGAACGACTGTATCAAAGGACTAAAGATCAAATCATAAACCCTAAAAAACTATGTGTTCACCAGAAGGTATCAAAGATGTTCTTTGAACCTTAATTAGCACATTAAAAGCTGAAGTCAGCCCCTACCTTGTCATAATGTTGGAAAGCCTTCAGCAGGGAGGGGAAGTTGTGGAAGTTGACGCGTTTTAGGTGGTGTCTCACTGCATTGACCAGACTGCGCATCTTGTCGGGGCCTCGCACATATTGTCCTGGTTCTGTGGAGTGGATTATTTCCCCCGCTCCTGTGGTTGAAGGGAGCCGAAAGTAAACAGAAAAGTTGCAAACAAGTCTGTGATTTTTAGGGAAAAACCGACGGAGAAAGAGATATTTGAACAGAAACTACCAAACTGTTCCGGTGGCAAGATCATCCCAAAGGTGTGTTCAGGTGGGAGCTGCAAGTCGTTTTCTCTCCTGGAAAGTTCAGTGGGTTGAGAAGATGAAGTCAAATAAAAAAGTGCAAGTAAGCAGACAGACTTGGTAAAAATAGTTGGAATGAACAAAAACCTACATCTTCACAGCTTCGCCAATTTGTTGTGCCAGTTTTTCTTTGTTTCCAGACCTCCTCCACACAGAGTTTGGATTAGAAAACCTGCAGGAAAACATTGATCAAATATTGTTGTTTTGATTTGTTTTACACCCCAAATGGATTCAGACTGTGAGGGGGAAACAAAAAACAGTTTTTCAGCTCTTACTTCTTAGGCTCTCCGATCCATTGGAGAGTTTTACCAAGATTACGGCCATCAGTAAAATGTGGTGTCGGGATCCCAAACCTGCTGTCTTTACTGTATTTACCCCCGTCATACTTTCTATCAATTTGCTCACCTGAAACGAAGCAGAACGTAATTCATTGATAGGCAGATATTCCATTTATATCCCACCTGCAGATTACAGGTGGAAATGTTAAAGTTACAGGGTGTTTCTTACCAACAAAATAGGCATTGTGACTACGAATGTAAGCATCGTGTCCCTCCCGAGTTTCCCTCTCCAACTCCTCTGATGTTTTTGGAGGGTTAATAATCTCACACGCATCCAGTTCTGAACAAAATGAGACGCACGTTAGCTGCCAATGACACAACTGTGACTAATAATCAAAATAACTACAACATTATCTGTGAATGTGTGCAAGTCGGGCCCTTTTTTTGTCGATTTCTCCGCAAACGTTTGCATGTTAACGTCACAGCACTTGCAAATATTTTCTGTTTTCATTCTTCTGGTCTGAACAAACGTCAGACCGTTTCATACCTCTCAGCGTTTTCACACCAAATGTAGTTCTGTCGTTGACCCAGGTGGGAAGTTCACGTTGGTCACGTGACCGACCTAGTGGCGCTTTCTTTCTTGAGGCATAAACTGATTCGCTTAGTTCCTGCAGCTTCTGTTGGACGTGCGTCTTTTGGAGGGGATTTAACAAACTTCCACTCTATAGAAATCAAAAGAATATTAGTCAAGAGGCATCGTCATGAGTAAAAATCATGATTGTGCGCGAAGATGTGCCAGGAAGTAGCAACATTTATCACACGCACACCTTCTAGATAATAACACTAATTTGTACCACCTGCAAAACATGCAAAACCTGTTAAAATAATGAAAAATAAAACGATTTGCAACATTGCTGTGTAAACTGCCAGCTAAATGTTTTAATACTGGCATATTCCCACTGGCGCACACCTATATTCTCACGTCTAACGCTGAAACATTCACAAGCTCAAAGTTGCGTTAGAATTAGGCTATAATTATTCACTTTAGCATAGTGTACTATAACATGATCTATTTCAATTATAGATTGTCTTATTCCTTTTAGAACTGTCTTTTTGTGTTAAATTCTCTGGCTGTAACCACAGACTCTCTTTTTCTCTCTGTTACATGATGCACACGTCATTAGGTCAACCACACACACACAAACTTAGTTACCACATTCAAAGGTTATCTGCATTAATTAGGACCTGGCCGGTTCCTGTCAGGGTTATAGGGTTAATAAGTAACTGGCCAATAAGCACTCAGTCGTGTCCAGTCCTTTTGAGAGGTGTGCCCAGCCCCACAGATAAATACCCATGACACACGGAGTTTGGGGCTCTTGGCCGACTGAGATCCTTGGAGAGAGGTTTTTGTCTGTTAAGAGCCCGGCGCTGATTTACTTTGCCTGTGACCTAATAAATGTCCATTTTTAAACTTGATCTACTCTGGTTTATTCTCAGGTTTCCAACTAAAGAATCGGGCTAACAGTTGTGTCAGCCGTTTGTGAAGTAGGACCTTAAAATGACCTCTGGCACCGAATTTTGTTCCGTCAAATGGTGAATTTGGAAGCTGAAAACATTTGCGATCAGCTAATCTACTATTCCCTTTGCCCCCTAAAACACTGCCAGCCTGTGTGGACTCACAGTGAGGGATGATTTGGTGCTGATGCCGTGAACGAGGGAGCTGGCGACCTCTGGATCGTTGGCCTTCCCTCTGTGAACTCTGACAGCTCCTGGTTCTGGTTGGTTACAGTTGCGAAACTTCCTAACCTCTGGTGGGGTGGGAGGCTGTGGAAGGAGATGTAAAAGATGCCTAGAGTTACGTTTTTCTGTAGATAAGCGTTCACATTGCAATGAAACAACAGCCACCAATCAGAGACCCTTTACTTTTCTTGAATTTACCCTTGGGGATCAATAAAGTATCTATCTATCTATCTATCTATCTATCTATCTATCTATCTATCTATCTATCTATCTATCTATCTATCTATCTATCTATCTATCTATCTATCTATCTATCTATCTATCTATCTATCTATCTATCTATCTATCTATCTATCTATCTATCTATCTACTCATTCACTCACTAAAAAAGACTTACATTTGGGATTGTTAAGCAGCTCTTCACCCGCTCTCCAACTGGATTCAGTTTCCCAGCCTTGTTGTCAAAGAAGAATAAGTCGTAGGTTTAGAAAATATATTTTTCTTAATTGTATTAAGCTAACTTGTGTTAGCTTGATGCTTCTAAAGTTGACCTACCGGGATAGTTTGGGCTTTGTCTTTGTGTTTAAGCCCGTTGGAAACACTATCCTCAGGCAAATTCATCTTTAGCAGGAAGATGTCAAACTGCTTTAATCTGAACGGCAGCCTTTTGAAACGTTCAGCCTCCTGAAAAAAACGTTTTTTAATGCCGTAGAATTTTTTATTCAGCGACCAACGTTTTGTGGTTGTTTAAATTACGTTGCCTGGCAACAGTTACTAGCTAAACGCCACGCCGGAGTTGGCTTTTGATTCCTATAGTTAGCACAAACACAAAAGTTTAGGTCCTTTATGAAAACTACAACAGCTAGACTGCCCAAATCCGGACAGAATTAGTCTAAAGAGGCTGTAGATTCAATAATACCTCGTGTGGGATTTGTGAAAGCTTTTTTCTGATTTGTGAAAATGCAAAAAAGGGCTGCTTAAAGCTCATGTTTTGCATTTTGAGCATGTAAACCACTGTAGTTACACAGCTCAAATTTCTCTTCAAAAGAGCTTACAGTCATAAAACACATTTTAGGATATAGGAAGAGTTTATTTGATCTTTAAAAATTTTAAAAGGCCACCTGAGCTTTCTTCTCATTGTCTTTGGACCATAAATGTCATGGGTGATGAGTGGCATTTGAGAAAAACAGCCATTTTTCTCAAATTAGAAAAAGCTGAAATGAATCCAAATCAAGAAATGTACACAAAGAAATTTAACAGAAATATAGAAAATACTGTTTTCATCCCCTGTGGTTGAAATTAAATGCTTAATCAAGTTGCTTAAATGTAAATGTTTACTGTTCGAGAAGGTATGGTTTGGCCTTTCTTTTTTTTTCTTTTTTTTTTACAGTTATTCGCTATTGGAGAAAATAGATAAAACAGACAAACAGATTAGTAAAATAATTAAATACTATTAATAATAATAATCAGGTTAGGACTGTCAAATGTCATTGTTTTGTTTTATTTAAGGCTGTTTTATGGCTGTTGGAGGAAAGGCCCTCCTCAGTGAGAGGATCCTGCCACTACAATAGCTCCCCTGTGCTTCCTGGAGGCTGCAGAGGGGATGTTTATGTGCTCCACGGCGGAGGGGAACTTCCTCCTCATCCCTGCGCTCCACCACAGCGCCGGCCTTTCTGCCCGCCTGGCTGGTGCCTACAGTTTTGGTCCGTCCTGCCACTCCCCCAGCAGACAGCAGCATGGAGCCGCGCGCTCCCGCTCACAGAGTGACAGGACATGCAAAGCATGCCGCAGCCAACTCTGATAGACTTTGGCCATCTCTGGGAGGAAAGAACGGCCCTTCCATTTCCGCACACCGCTCCAGTTTACCGTCCCGTGCATTCGCAGGTCTGAGCAGTCTCAACTTCTGACCATCTATTTGCAGAATGACTGGCATAGTTTGAGATTTCATAAAAGTCTACAACAAGCTCTTTAGGTCTTGGTGTTGTTCAGGAGACAATTTGATTTGGTCCAGGAACTGGAAAAACAAAAAAAAACAACAAAAAAAATCGTCTTTTTTTTAAAGTGTTTTTTTTTTACTCTTGAAATGTTTTGTTAGGATAATTTTTATGATAGAATTTTTTTGTTTCATTTATTTATTTCTTTTGCTGTGGGGAATAAATCGTAAATTGTGATTGGTCAGCGGCCCTGACACGCAGCGATTGTCAGTTCCAGTCATACGATCTGTCATCATCCTCCGTACAATGCGAAAAGGGAAGTGGAAAGAAGTGGGAGAAGACCGCGGAGCCTTATGAAATCTAACATTTTTACAGCTGGCTGGATACTCGATACACTGTGAACTGATACTGAAGGGCTTCACATATTGTCTCGGAAAGACCTTTGGTATTTTTATAGGCTTCTCGTTTCGGAAGGTGAGTGGCTAATATTAGCTGTTAGCTAACGGCTAGCTAGAGGGCTCCTCCCGATGGGGCCGCCGCTGAACAACATTAGCCCTGCGCCTATTATCTGACTAGCCTAAAGCTAGCTAACTGACACTTAAAGGGCCGAGCAAGTTAACATTTAACGTTGGATACCTTTGGATGAGTCAATACCTACTGACAAAAAACACAAGAGTCACATCTTATCGGTTAACAGCCCCTTTTGGAGCTCATTATTGACGAGGTAGCTAACTATTTTAGCGCTAAGCGAGGAGTTAGCTAGCTGTCATTAGCTGTACACACCCAAACCTGCATCATCTGTGTTTTTTTACATTCTCAGACGTTACATAAGTGTCCGAAATGCCGTGTATGTGCCAGTTGCGTGCGTTGAAAGTAATGTTACACGGACTGGATCACGCGTCATTGCAGATTGGCTTTTTTGTTGGACATTTTTAACCTGGGAGCTAGCTGTGTTGTCAATGCTAACAGTGGTTACTTTGCTAATTCGAGCTAGTCAACAACAACCTAACAGGTTATTTGTGGTTACCTGTGGCGTAACGCGATTTCGACGAAGTTGAAGGCAATTATTTTTGGAGGGATAGTCCGGTCACTTAGCTGTCTAAGAGACAGGGAACATCGCATGTTGTTGTTGTACCTAACATAAGTAATGGCGTTGTTTTTATTATACATTTAGACCTGATACCCATAAAACTGTATCCTAACCATGTGCTGTTTTCATATTAAAACACATCCTCTACCAGACAGTCTCAAATATTGGAAAGCTATTCTCGAAAGTTGCCAAGATTTCCAAATCCACTATAGTGAGATAACATATGATTTCTATAGCTGCTGTGCTAAGTAAACTTTTGGTAAAGTTGAAGTGCCTATTGTGTGGCTCCATTTGCCAAAATGTCAAGCCTGTGGTCAAACAGGAAACTGGCGTCGTTTTCTGTGTTTTTACCAAACCTGTTATTGCAGTTTTGGCAACCGACCAACAGTTTTTGGAGCCGCTACAAAGCACTGGGAAGTGTAATGGGAAACTTTTGTTGCGTTGGTGTGTCCCCGGTGTGTCCTCCACAAATGTTGCCACCAGGGCTTAGAAAACGAGTTTAAAAAGATGTACTCTTAAAACCTAAGTATGTAATATTCAATAGAACTTAATTAACAGTGGTTCTTGTCAGATTTAGGCTACTCAGGAAATGAATGCTTTTCTTATCGTGACCATCATCAGCTATTGATTCATGACGCTTGCCTTTGTTTTCCTTTTTTTTTTTACTCAGGTGTTTTGCACAGTTTTTCCCCACAGGAACAACATTTAGTGGACGAGACCAGACAGAGGGACATGGCAAGTAGAGGCGGAGCCACGCGACCCAACGGACCTAATGCGGGCAACAAGATTTGCCAATTCAAACTTGTCCTTTTAGGAGAGTCAGCAGTGGGAAAGTCTAGTCTTGTACTTCGTTTTGTCAAGGGTCAGTTTCATGAATTCCAAGAGAGCACAATCGGAGGTATGTATGTTTTCTAACCTGATGTTTTTGGCCTTTACTTGTTTTGTGGATGTGTGCTTAGCCCTGGACACAGACAGCCATCATGATTTCCAGACGGTTTTAAATGACATGTGGGACAGCTGAATCAAGGACATTTTCCTTGTTTCTTTGTTGTTGTTTTTTTTATTCAGACTGGGTGATGGAGTGTGCGAACTTCAAAGGATTCAGAAATGATTAGTTTTTTTAATATCAGAGTGGGATTGACAGAGTTATATTTAGATGTCTGAGCAGAACAAAGAGCCGTGGAAACATGAAGGTGAATTCCGAGACGTTCACCTTTTAGTTTCAGGTGTGTTTTTGTGAGGTTAAAGTAGTTGGTTGGGCAGAGTTTGGCAAATGTACTTCCTCATGGAAATGATCAGGTTGATTCAGGTTACATCCATTAAATTTCCGCCCCATATTCACTTCATGCCAACTCAAAAGGCATTTAACATTCAGCATGTCACAGATTCAATATCCTTTTTCCCTTTTTTTAGTGTGATCTGCTCAGGCTGTTTACACTCGATTAAAAAAAAAAAAAAAAAAAAAAAAAAAAA